CTGGAATCGGTGGCTGGTCAGCGTGAACGACAACATCATGCAAACAAGTGTCCCATTCAGTTGCCAAAGACTCGAAGAGCTTCCTGTTGGTCTCCATCATGCTATCCACGAGTCGAGGAACGTACTTGGCTGCAGCAAAGAACCACGTAGACATGCACTCCTGCTTGGTAAAAGCCTGGCACTTCAAATCGCTAGCCATGTCGGCGAGACCTGGGAGAGCCTCTCGAATTGCTTTGCGGCTGCTCTCGCTGGCAGCGTCGCGAAGGCCCTTTAGAGAAGATGCAACTTCATGATCTGCTTCTCTCTGTGCTGCGCGAAGGGCGCCAGCATCAAATCTCAAACTCGCGAACGTCGATGCCGAAGCGCTCGAACTTGGAACGAGGTCGGTGGACTCGCCACTGGCAGCTGCAGACGTAGCGGCAGGTGTATCTAGGAACGCCTGACCACGACGTTGTTTAGAATCCCCTGGCAACACCTCTGTCGATATCCAATGGTCTCTTGCCGAAACTGCGACCCCCAAGTCGGTGTCTCAGGGTTGCCGCTCGAGCCTCTTGAAGCACGTTTGCAAGATCATCTTGTGACAGGGCCCTATAATCAGCAGCAAGTGCTCTGGCATCAAATCGGTGCGAACCTCGGGGCCTCATGCTGATGAAAAGCCTCCAGAGACCTCCTCCTCCACGACGCGATCGTGGTCCAGGCTGGGGCTTGCCCTCTGCCCTCGCCTCAAGGATCTTCTTCTTGGTCTTCAAGCTTCTTCGACGTTCGCTGCGAGGCTTCCTCCAACCAGGTGGCGTACTCCAATGGCGACTTCTAGAACGAAGTTTCGCAATGAGCCTGTGACCGCTGAGCTTCGAAAGCGAAGGCAAGATGACGTGCGTGCTCATGACGTCCGACACGTGCTTGATGCCTGCATTGCCGTTCTCGAGCTGCACGGTATCTAACTGAACTAAAACCGCGATCATCGTCAGCTCAGCCAAAGCGAACTCGCCATCCACGTTGTCGATGCCGTAGTAATCTAAGAAGCTCGAGGTGAATTCGCCCATGCTGCTCCTGCACGCGGCCCTCAACTGACATTTAGTTCTCTCAGGGTCGACTAACAACATGAAAAGTCTGAACGGGAAGGTCTCATGCATTACCTTTAGCTCTGTGAACAACGCAGCCTGTCTCGATAGAAGTCTGAAGACCGTACTCGAAAGGGCGAGGGTCCCCTGCGCTGGTGGAAGACAATCAAAGAGAGCGGCACGCCCGTGCAAGGTCTTGATCCCTTCCAGCGCCGTGTTCTCCAGAGTACATCGCGCGGCAACCAACAACGGCCAATCACAGGCAAGGGCAATAGGCGCGTCGCTGGATTTGATGGCCTTCAACGCCATCAGGGTCTTCCACGCGTCGCCAGACTGCTGAAGCCTCGCATGCGCGTAGCGTATCACGGGGCCCGAAGCGAACCTGATCCCAAGAAGCCTATCAGCAGGAAAGGTCATCATCCACGCGTGCGCCTTGCCTCTCTGCCCTTTGTTCCCCTTCGCCGCGACGCTGGCTGCCGCAACTGCGGGATCGAGAGGCAACGGGTCTCCTCGGCCATCTCCGGCAGGCACTTCGGGCTCAGGGGCATCCAGGTCATCGAGGCCGCCGTCCTCCAGGGCACCAGCAACGAGACTATCCCCAACTGCAACCAGGTGCTCGTGCGGAGGTCGCGCGGCGCCCGCCGCCAGGCGCTCGCCCATGTCCAGCCGATATTGGACGAAGCACTCCGCGTGAAGGTTGTGAAGGCAGCATGGGACCCCATGGTCAGCCATGGTCTTGTCCAGGCCAGTCCAGCGATTGCGAGGGAACTCGAACGGAGCATGTGCGCACAGCAATGGAAGTAACACGTCAGCCAGCATATCTGAAACCTCTCCACGGTCTCGTCGCCCATCCTCTTCCACGCGTAGTCGCCACGAACCCGCCAATCTCCAGGTGCCATCTTCAGCAGCGCTGCTCGCCTATCTCGGTGCTCTGGGGCGGCCCCGTAAAACACATCAAGAACAAACTCTTTGTACTGCTTTGCGGCATCATCCAACAACACATCGTCACATATGGTCACCATCTGCTGGATGCACGCCTTGGCCGATTCCCTGAACCTCAACATCATACAGAAATTGTTCAGTGCGTAGGTCGTGTTGACCATGCCAGTGATATCGCGCGCTACTCGTGGAAACTGCATTACTTTCGTGTGCATGTTGGATGCGAAGTGAACCTCGCAATGAAAGTGCAAATTCGACCAGGACGCCCGATCCGCCATCACGCCTTTCTCGGCCCTGTCGTTGCACGCAGCACCATCAGTATCTGAAACCCGAACTTTTCGTTTGAAAGTGTCTCTGGCAATCGATCCAGGGACGGGCCGTCTGATGCACGCCAAGAGGGCTTCTGCAGTCGACCTGTCCACAGCCAACAGCAGGGCGCTGAGATGGCCAATCAAGTGATGGATGACGCCAGCCGATCCGAACACTAATCCAACAACGTTCGCTGCGTGCTGAACCTTTTGTGAAGCCATATGTGGTGTTAGCTTTCCTGTGAGACTGCAGTTCGCCAACGAGCGTACTGATAATCGCCAACTCTGCACTGGATGATGCCGACTGCGGGGCTGATTTGGCGAACGATCTGGAGAAGTTCCTGGCCAGCAGTTTCAAGTCCGCCGTCGTACGTCCCGTAGTCTATGTACGCCACCAACTCGACGCCAGGAGCTGCGGTGATACACGATTCTATCGCGTGCCAGCTCCGCCGCTCCATGTGCCAACAGCATGAAGACGTGACCGACGACAGCGCTCGCACGTCGCAACGTGGGAGGTCGACAGCCGTCGCCGCGGCGGCAATCGACGTGACGTGCTGCGGGTCCTCGTTCAGCAACGAGCCCATGATCACGTGGCCAGCTGGACCGACGTCATGGCCTGCATCTGGCGCCAACCTCGCCAGCTGCACTGCGATCTGGTCGGGCAATGGCGCCCTGGACATGTCCACCAGCGGCGTCGGCGGCACAGCAACGTCAACGACGTGCTCGCCAGCTGGAGGGAGCTCACCGGGCTCTCCGTCGCTGCTCACGCCACAGAGCTCCTCGGGCGCTGCCTGCGGTCACTCAATGCGAGCGCCCAGCGTTTCCATCGGCAGTCGGAGCCTTGACGCTCGGGCCTGCGCCCAAGCCTCAAGCCTCCGACCGCAATGGAATCGCTGAGGTCAGGCATTGAGTGACAGTTCCTCGAGGGCAGCCAGCGCTCCAGCCAGCTGGTCAGCACCCTCGGCGCCGTCGGCGCCCTCGGCGCCGATGCCCTCCAGCGCCTGGCCCAGGCTGTCGGCGCCATCGGCGCCGCCGCCCGCGGCGATAGCGGCCAACGCCGCGCCGATGGAGTCAGGCTCCATCACGCGGGCCAGCCGACACCCCTGGCAGGACTGAACCTGCCAAGGGCTGCGCCCAAATGGCTGCGGAGGAGGGGGAGGATGGGGAGGTGGTGGGGGATCTGGTTCAAAGACGGGGGGGAACGCCTTCTCGTTCTTTGGTTTCACGGTTCGTTTGGCCCATGGCCCCATTCGCTATTCTGCAATGAAGCTAGTGGCCCGTGGCCTTCCCGTGGCAATCGCCACCATGACCAATGCAATACAATGCACTGCAACGCGTTGCCTCTGAGGGGGACCTTGGCCTACCCAGTAATACTACGAGGTCCTGCCCCCCAACAAAACAACACGAGACAAGGTCTAACGATCAATGCCGTTCATCGTACTCCCCCTCCTCCCCTTTCTCCTCATTCGCTGTCCCATGCAACGCACGCGGGCATGCTATTTCATTGTCAATTCCAGTGTTTTTGCGATACGGTTTGTACTGTGACCGCGGAACGAAAACAAGACGATTTGGGAAATCGGCGTTTGAGGCTGCAGAACGACCCGCGGGTAAAAAACATGACGGTTTGCAATACGACCTGGTCAACCTTGCGGAACGACTTGCGGAACGCCTGCGGGTAAAAAACAGAACGAATCCCGACCCCCCTCCTGCAGCAGACAACGCCGACTCGGTAGTAGTAGTAGTAGTAGTAGTAGTAGTAGCAGTAGTAGTAGTAGTAGTAGTAGTAGTAGTAGTAGTAGTAGTAGTAGTAGTAGTAGTAGTAGTAGTAGTAGTAGTAGTAGTAGTAGTAGTAGTAGTAGTAGTAGTAGTAGTAGTAGTAGTAGTAGTAGTAGTAGTAGTAGTAGTAGTAGTAGTAGTAGTAGTAGTAGTAGTAGTAGTAGTAGTAGTAGTAGTAGTAGTAGTAGTAGTAGTAGTAGTAGTAGTAGTAGTAGTAGTAGTAGTAGTAGTAGTAGTAGTAGTAGTAGTAGTAGTAGTAGTAGTAGTAGTAGTAGTAGTAGTAGTAGTAGTAGTAGTAGTAGTAGTAGTAGTAGTAGTAGTAGTAGTAGTAGTGGCGCAAGAACCGCCGACGCCACGCCGTAAGTGAAGCAGCAGCAGAAGCAGGCAGCAAGTCGCCGAGACAGCAGCAAAAGCAAGCTGTACGGGGAACCGCGCGTTTGCTTTTACCTTTGCTGTTGCCTTTGCTTGGCTCCCAAGGGACTGGGGGAACCGCCCAGGGCGGTTTGCACTGCCCGGCCCCTTTAAGACAAGCGAGTAAGAACCCTTCTAGACAGAGCCTAGGTAGGGAAAAACATTTCGTCGGCATTCTGGGCACGGCTGTCCCCCTCACAAGGGGGGCACAACCGTCAGGTACGCCGTCGTGGGCGAGCGGGACGAGAAAGTAGCGAAGGGAGACCTTGAGAGGCGGAGGAGGAGGAGGAAAAGGAGGAGGAGGAGAGGAAGGAGGGATGAGGGAGGGAGGAGGAGGGAGGAGGAGCGGGGAGGAAGGAGGAGGGAGGAGGAGGAGGAGGAGTAGATTGAGAGGAGGGAGGAGGAGAGGAGGAGAGGAGAAAGGAGGGGAGGTTAAGGAGGAGGAGAAGGGAGGAGACGGAGGAGGAGGAGGAGGAGGGCCAGAGTCTCCCTCACGAGGGCGCGCCTTGACGACGGGCGCCACCAGCGTGTGGTACGCCGTCATGGGCGTGACCGTCGAGCCCTCCGACCGTGGGGGCACCACCGCGGCCGGGCACAGGTTCCGTGCGCCTCCTCCTCCTCCCTCCTCCTCCTCCTCCTCCTCCTCCTCCTCCTCCCCTCCTCCCTCCTCCCTCCTCCCTCCTCCCTCCCTCCCTCCTCCTCCTCCTCCTCCTCCTCCTCCTCCTCCTCCCCTCCTCCTCCGCTCTCCTCCTCCCCCTCCTCTCCTCCTCCTCTCCTCCTCCTCCTCCTCCTCCCTCCCTCCCTCCCTCCCTCCCTCCCTCCCTCCCTCCCTCTCCCTCCCTCCCTCCCCCCTCCCTCCCTCCCTCCCTCCCTCCTCCCTCCTCCTCTCCTCCCCTCCTCCTCCTCCTCCTCCTCCACCTCCGCTCCTCCTCCTCCTCCTCCTCCTCCTTCTCATCCTCCTCATCCTAATCCTCATCCTCATCCTCATCCTCATCCTCATGCTGCTCCTCCTCCTCCTCCTGATGCTGCTCCTCCTCCTCCTCCTCCCCCTCCCCCTCTCGGCGGCGCAAAGCAGGGGTGGGGCCGAGGGGGCGGCCTCCCCAGAGAGCAGGGAGCTCCTCGGGAGTGGTCGGCCCCTCCGCAGAGGCTCTCTCTCTCTCTCTCTCTCTCGGGAGGCCCCCAGCGGGGGCCAGGGAGGAGGGCATCGCTGAGAGGCGCGGTGCCCTCGGAGAGGGTCGCGGCTCCCACTCCGCCATCCCTCGTCCTTACAACCGCTCCCCCCTGCCGCGCCCCGAGACGGGTCGGTGGGGCGGGCCGGGCGTTTCGCCTCAGACTTCCTCACCATCTGTGAACCTGAAGCTTGGAACGTGCAACAGCCTCACGGCTGGACGGCGGGTCGGTTTCAACATGTGGCTCTCGCCTTATCGCCATGCGCATTCGTGCTGAAAGTTAGCAAGAGCTTCACGGAGGGAGGGCGTCTCCTTATCAAAATGCGTCTCTCGCCTCAGCGCCGCACACATGCGTGTTAGAAGTGTGCAAGAACTTGACGGATGGAGGGTGGTTCGTTTTCAAAATGTGGCTCTCGCCTCAGCGCCGCGCACGTTCGTCTTAACAGTGTACAGCAGGCTCAAGGAATATCATGGTTCACGTCCCAGGCATTGTGCTTTGGCACGGTTTCGGATCGACAAGTCGCGACAGTCAGGTTGAATCGGTGTCAGGTCGTAGCAGCAGTGCTGATTCGCGGCGCTGAAGTCCTAAGAATTTAGCCTGGGCACCATTGAAGACTTTCAAACGGTTGTCTTCAACAGGACTCTTCCCGCAATGAAGATGGGTCCTTCTAGGACTATGACGACGGAATTTGGACAGGGGACTGATTGCAACATTGTTGACGAGTCTTGGGTTTACGCTGGTCCTCCTCCTCATCCTCCTCCTCCTGCGCATCCTCCTCCTCGTCCTCCCACGCCTACGATCATTGTCAACATCATCATCATCATCATCATCAAAAACCTGAACGTCAGCATCCTCAACAAAATCAGCATGATCAGCATCGTGAGTATCGTCATCATCGACATCAGCCCCTCCTCCTCCTCCTCCTCCTCCTTCTCCTCCTCCTCGTCATCATCATCAGCATCATCAGTCGCAGCATCACCATCAACGACACCATCACCATCATCCGCATCAGCATCATCATCATCATTATCAGCATCAGCAGCAGCATCATCAGCATCATCATCCTCATCATCATCATCACCATCATCATCATCACCATCCTCCTCCTCCTCGTCATCATCATCATCATCGTCGTCGTCATCGTCACCGTCATCCGTGTCATCATCATCATCATCAGCATCATCATCATCATCAGCAGCAGCAGCAGCATCGTCATCACGATCAGCCCTGTCATCCTCCTCAACAGCATCATCGTCAGCATCAGCATCGTAATGTTCATCACACTCAGAATAAGAAGCAGTATCATCATCACCACCATCACCATCATCATCATCGTCGTCATCAGCATCACCATCATCATCATCATCAGCATCATCATTACCATCCTCATCGTCATCATCGTCGTCCGCGTCCTCGTCCTCCAACGCCTACGCCTCCGCATCGTCCCCGTCTTCCGCATCCGCCTCCTCCTCATTGTCCTGCTCCTCCTTATCCCCCTCCTCATCATCATTAGCATAATCATCAGCATCATCCTCCTCGTCCTTCAACGCCTACGATCATCATCATCATCATCATCATCATCATCATCATCAGCATCATCATCATCACGATAAGCATCATCATCAGCAACATCATCAGCATCATCATCACCACCTTCATCATCACCATCGTCATCACTAATAGTATTGTCGTCATCGCCATCATCACCATCTTCATCATCATCAGCAGCATCATCATAAGCATCATCACCATCAGTATCAGCATCACCATCATCATGTTCAATGGTCATCGTCATCATCAGCATCCTCGTCATTATCGGCATCAACATCCTCATCCTCATCCGCATCATCATCCTTCTCACCCATTATCAGAATCTGCTGCGTCACTAGCATCGTCAGCATCATCATCAGCAGCAGCATCGCCATCATCATCATCATCATCAGCATCATCATCATCATCATCATCATCATCATCATCATCATCATCAGCATCATCATCATCATCATCATCATCATCATCATCATCATCATTATCATCATCGTTGCCGTCATAATCAACAGCATCATCATTAGCAGCATCAATATCATCATCATCGTCAGCATGATCAACCTCAGCATCAACACCATCATTATCAGCAGCAGCATCATCAGCATCGTCATCATCGCTTTCGTCATCGTCATCGTCATCAGAATCAGCATCAGCATCATCATCATCATCACCACCAACACCATCATCATCATCAGCAGAATCATCATCATCATCATCATCAGCAGCAGCAGCAGCAGCACCAGCAGCAGCAGCATCATCCATATCATCCTCCTCCACCTCGTCCTCCTCGTCCTCCTCCGCCTCCCATTCCTCCGCCTCCGCCTCCTTCTCCTCCTCGTGCGAGGCGATGAGCCAGGTTGAAAGCCACCAGAGGGTAGGTCTGCTCTCGCGTCGGATCGTATGAGAGTTGTTGCTTCGGGTCGTGTCAAGCGATTCTCTTGGATCTTGCGCGAAGACCATACGTCTCGCAAAGACTACCGTGTCGACAGGCCGACTGTAATTTCGGAAGCCTCAAGGCCTGGCTGGAGCCCGGCCGCATGCCGAGGGCTTGAGGCCAACGGCTCCCATTGGGATGGGGGTGCACTTGGCGAGGGGGCCGGCTTTGTACGGCTTTTCCGCCTCCTCCTCCTCGGCCTCCTCCTACATCTACTCCTCCTCCTCCTCCTCCTCCTCCTCCTCCTCCTCCTCCTCCTCCTCCTCCTCCTCCGCCTGCTCCTCCCCCTCATCCTCATCCTCATCCTCCTCCACCTCCTCCTCCTCCTCATCCACCTCCTCCTCCTCCGACTCCGACTCCGGCTCCGACTCTGCCTCCGTCTCCGCCTCCGCCTCCGACTCCTACTCCGACTCCGACACCGAATCCGACTCCTCCTGCTCGCTCAGAAAAAAAGTGGGAGGCGGGCAAAACTGATAGGGGAAAGCAGTGACGATCCAGGTTCGGCTTCGCACTCTCAGGGCAAGCGTCCTGCTGCTCCTCAGTCCCTCGGATCCTGGCGTCGCCCCCTAAAAAAACGACAACGGGGTTTTCTACGTGCTCGGCCATTGGGACATTCTCATGGCCCCAGGACTGTCAGAGCTATTCGGTGTACAATAAAGTCCACCAGGTGCGAACCCAACTAGCGGTGAGCAATGCAACGCAGTTCAACAGATTGCGTATCATTGCTTGGCATTGATTGGCACTGCTTGGCGTTGCTCGGCATTGGCATTGCATTGCTTGGCCGTGCTTGGCAGTGCTTGGCAATGCTTGGAATCGTGTCCTGGGATTGCTTGGCGTTGCTTAGAATCGTTACTTAGCATTGCTTGGCATTGTTTGGTTGTGCGTGGCGTTGCTCGGCGTTGACTGGCAGTGCATGGCATTGTTTGACATTGATTTGAGTCGTTGCTTAGTACTGCTTTGCATTGCGTGGCATTGCTTAGCATTGCCTTCGCATTGCTTGGGATTGCATGGCATGGCTTGGCATTGCTTGGAATCGTTGCTTGGCATCGCTCTGCATTGCTCGAAACCGTTGCTTGGCATTGCTTGGCATTGTTTGATTGTGCTTGGCATTAATCTGCATTGTTTGACGTTGCTAGGCAAGTATTGGTGTTGCTTGGCCTTTCTTGGCATGTGTTGGCATTGCTTGGCATGAACTTGGCATCGCTTGGCACTGACTGGCTCGGGTTAGCAGTGATGCTTGGCATTGGTTTAAACAGATGTTTGAAATATTACTTGGTATGGATTTGAATAGTTGTTTGGCATTGCTCGACATTGCTTCGAATAGTTGATTGGCATTGCTTGGCATTGCTTAACATTACTTGGCGTGTATTGGCATTGCTTGGTATGGCTTGGCATTGCTTGGCATGGACTTGGCATCGCTTGGCATTGCGTGACATTGTTTGGCGTCGCTGCTTGGCATTGCTTGGAATTGCTGTGAGTAGTTGACTGGCGTTGCTTGGCACTGCTTGGCATTGCTCTGAATATGTTCTTGGTATTGCTTGGCAATGCTTGGCATTGCTGGGCACTGCTTCCTATAATATATGTGGCATTGCTTGGCATTGCTTGGCATGCATTGGTGTCGTTGCATGGCATTGCTCCGACTCGTTGCTTGGCATTGGTTGGCATTATTCGGCGTTGCTTGGTATGCCTTGGCATGGTATTGCTTGACGTTGTTTTGCTTTGCCCTGGCAACTCCGGGCAGCCCCGAGCAACCGCGAGCAGCCCCGAGCACCGAAGCAACCCTGAGCAACCCAAAACAACCCCGAGAAATCCTGGGCGAACAACCCAACCACGCCGGGTCTCGTCCCTGACAACAGGCGTCGCGCCCACCGGCTTCGTTCACGAACAGGTGAGACCCTCTTGGGCTCTTA